GGGGGCTGGGGGCACCAGGCTGGGAGGGGCCTGAAGGCACCAGGCTGGGAGGGGGCTGGGGGCACCAGGCTGGGAGGGGGCTGAAGGCACCAGGCTGGGAGGGGCTGGGGGCACCAGGCTGGGAGGGGCTGGGGGCTGCTTGTCTGTGCCCTTCTAGATCAGGGTGCTCTGCTGGTGGTGTGAGAGCCTGGGAGAGCGGCAGACTCCCTGTTGGGAGTCCTGCAGGTGAGGCCTGGGGTGGTGGCTCTGGCTGTCCCAGACCTTGAGAAGCTGGGATTTCATGAGTCTGGGGGTCCCTCTGTGTCCACATCCCACAACACCGTGGGGGCTGCCTGTCAGGTGCCAGGCCAGGCTGGGCACTCACTCCTCCCAGACTGAGCTTGAACAGTGGCAATGACCATGGTCACTCCTATAAACCCAGGCTCCATGCCTGGGGCCCAAGAGTGAGGCCTGGGGACTGGGGAGTCCCAGAACCCCCAGGGGGATGCACCTGGGTGGCCTTTCCCTGCCCCCTCCCCCACCTCCATCGCCTGCTCCCTGCTGGGCAAGGCTGGGGTGTGTGGCCTGGAGCTGGCCAAGGTTCTGCCTCACCAGGGCCCCTGGGCAGGCCATGATGTCGAGGAGACCTGGGGCGCCACCCACCACTCACCTCCCTCCTGCACCCTCTGGCCCGGGCTGGAGGTGGCGTGGGCCTGGCACGCAGCGCAGTGGTCCCCATCCCGGAGGACGCAGAAGTGGCCTGGGCCGCAGCTGCACAGGGTGTTCTCTGTCCTGGAGCAGTTCCGGGTGGCGAGCAGGCCCATGGCTAGGGTCCAAGAAGGGGAGCTGAGAGCAGCCGCTGGGCTGGGAGGCTGTGTTGATGCCCCGTCCTGGACATGGTGTGCAGAGGCCGGGACTGCTGCCCGGGTCCCCTGCTGGGCTGCACCTCTGGCTCAACCAACGAGGTGCCTGGCATGGAGGACCTGAGGCCCGGAGGGGCACCAAGGGACAGCTGAGCTGTGTGTGGGATGAGGGCCTGTGGGACGATCCTGTGAGGGTCTCACTGATGGGAGCCAGGCCTTATGGAGAAGCCAGCCTTCTGCCCAGATGGCCAGGACATGGAGCTTCCACTGCTAGTCCTGGGGCAGGGTCCCTCAGGCAGGTCTTCGCCCTGTGTGCCCACCCTGGACACTCAGCCCTCAGACAGGCTTCCCATCTGTGCAAACCAGCCAGGTAGGGTGAGAGCCCCCTTCTTCAGGTGCTGCTGGAGGTGGGGTACCAGCCCCAGCCCTGGGACCCTCCTGAGGGCAGCCTCACCTGCACGCTGTACCCCCGGATTCTCAGCCCAATCAGACAGGTACTTTCACAAGAGGGGAGGGCACTGGACTGGGCATGCAGGTTGAGGTGTGAACCCCAAATCCCATGCATAAGCCTTCAAAGCACTCCAGCTGCTGTTCTGTTCACAGCTAGCCCAGCTGCTGGTGCCTCCCTGCAGGCCCAGGCCCTGCCGCAGTCGCAGGCCTGCCTGGCCTGGTGAGCACCTGCTGTGCTGAGCCTGGCTCGAGGCTCTGATGGGACAGAGCCACTGGCGGCATGGCTGGGCTCTGCGCTCCAACTCAAAGGCATGCCCCTGGGTCTGGTTCCCCTGTCTGCCTCCACCCAGGCGGGCACCAGCCTCCAGGTGGCCCCTCCCCCTGGGGTCATGTGGGAACCCAATTTCTGGAGGAGAAAGCGACAAGGAGCCCTGTGGGGAAGCAGCAGGTCCCAGCGCCCTCCAGAGAGCCCCAGCACTGGCCCAGTCCACTTTCCAGCTAGGGACACGGGCACAGGAGAGGTCTGGGCACCCACCCAGGGCACCGGAGGAGCCAAGGTTCAGGGCCAACGGTCAGGCGCTGAGCTCAGGACAGCCCACCTGACAAAGTGAGCGGTGGGGGCACGGCCCCCTTGTGATGAGGCAGAGGTGGGCGGAGGCTGGTGCTGGCCTGAAGGCGTCCCCTGCAGGGCGCACCCATGGAGGTGGGGGCAGGACCTGGCCTGGGGCAGCCGGGGCCTCCAGGGAGACTGTGGTCATGGCGAGAGGGTGCGTGTCATACAGGCTGCCGGAGCGGAGGCTGGGCCGGCTGTGTCGGCCTCTTACCTGGGTCACACATTTGGCACTTCAGGCACTTGCTCAGGCCATTGAGGTGGGCAATGTAGGTCCCTGGAGGGCAGGGTTCACACACTGTGCCCGTCAGCTCCCCGCAGACCTGCTTCACGCGGTAACCTGCCGCCCAGAGGGTGGGAACTTGGCGGGGCCGTGGGAGACCCCTGCGGGAGCCCACCCATCATGAATGCCCGTGCCCAGAGGCTGAGCCGGGGGACACCAGCTAAGGGGACTCAAATGGCCCATGAGCTGTTCCCTGAGGGACACAGCAGCCCCAGCTGCCTTCCATGAGCAGAGCTGCTCTGGGGAGAATCAGAAAGTTCTGGAAGCATGTGGGGCCTCCTGGGACACCTGGCCCAGCTCTGGTACGTCCCCCATGTCTCTGGTCAAGATGGCCCGGCCACGTCCTTCAGACCCACCCCTGTGTGGCGTGGCTGTGCGAGTCTCCCAGGGTGAGGCGCCCAAGCTGCTGCCCTGGGGCTCCCGCCCTCCCTGTGTGTGCAGCTGGGCCCGGGTTTCACCGCACCATGGCTGTGTGAGCAGAGAACACGGGGTGTCCAGGGCAGGGAGGGGCACAAGTGTCTGCCCTTGGCCCACAAACCAGCCCACCGGGGGCTGCGCTTACCTGGGCTGCACTTGGGGCAGCACTCGGTGCCCACCGGGTACTCGTCCTCTTTGCAGGAGGGCAGAGCTGGGGCGCAGCAGGGGGCTCCCAGGAAGGTGACATACAATACCTAAGGGTGCCAGAACAGGCGGTGGGAGATGTTTGGCTCCACCCTGAGCCTCCCCCTGTGCACTGGGAGGGTGGCAGTGTCTGGTAGAAGGGACAGCAGCGGGCCCCAGGCCAGGCTCAGGGAACAACCGTGTCCACCCCTGCAGCCTGGGGTCTGGTGAGGACCGCCCCTCCACCAGCCTTGATTCCCCTGCCTGGCAGTGTGGCACCCTGGGAACTGACACTTGGCCCTCTCCAGGGCCCCCAACCCCACACCTGGGAGCCCTGAGCCCTCTGACAGACCACCTGTCGGCCCCTGTGCTGGTCTAGGCTGGACCTGCTGACCCCTGTCAAGCCAGCAGGGCAGCCAGAGAGGGCCCCTGGGGCTCACAAGCCAGATAGTGGGTGACAGGCTGGCCAGGGCCACACTCGGGAGGCAGCTCTGCCGTGGCCTCGTTCCTGGGCTGGCTGATGGGTAGTCGGGGCCCCTGATGGGGGAAGCGGTTGGACAGGCAGGAGCGCCACACAGGCACGGAGGGTATTCCCACCCGGGCCCAGCCCCCTGCTGCACAAACACTGATCTTGTCACCTGTCACCAAGGTCAGCGCTGCTGGGGAGTTGGGTCATCTGCTCCAGGCCCGCCAAGAGACACCCAGCCCCCCAAAGTGCCCACATCCTGCCAAACAGGCTCCCCAGCTGCCCGTGGATGGAGCGTTGAGAGGGGGACACACAGGAGGAGGCCTGTGGGGGGGCTGTGGCTCTGCTTCTCTCCCCCTGTGCTGAGCCCAGTGCTGGCGGTCTGGGTCAGCTGGAGAGCCCGGGCAGCAGGGGACGGGCTGAACGAGGGACCCAGCCACAGCCAGGACGGGGGTGGCGGGGGCAGGGAAAGGAGCTCTCTGAGAGGCCCTGAGGTCAGCACCAATATCTGGGAACCGACGGGGAGGAGGCGTGGGGGCTCACCAGCCTTAAGAGATCGGCTTTGGGGGCTGGTCTCCAGGAAGGAGGCGCCATGTGCCTCGGCTCAGGCCAGCAGTCCAGGAACCCGGCCCGTGGGACGACCTCCAGCAGAGGAGCTCGGTGCCATTGCCGCGCCTAACAGCTCAAGAGAAAGAGAAAGAGAAAGAGAAACCACCGTGTGAGAGGCTGTGCCTCAATCCGAGACTCCGAGAGGCGGGAGCGCTTGGGGGGGTGTCTGGGAGGAGAGGGAGGCTCAGGCCTGCTGGGTGAGGCAGCGGGGGACAGGTGGGCCTGCGGGGGCAGGAGCTGTCCAGGCAGAGCCCAGGGAAGAGCAGGTATGGAGGAGGCGCCCATGGGAGCGGCAAGTGCCCCCCTGCACCGGTTCAGTCCCCTCTGGGTTTCCTGTAGACGGGGAGCCCCAAAAAGTGCATTCCCCACCTCACTCATACACGCAGGGACCCCGAGGTGCTGACTGACATTTTTGCCGAATAAAGGGGCCCTGTGGGTTTCCTGTTCCCATCTCAGCTCTGCCCAAGAGCCTAAACTTCCCTTCCGAATAAAAACCGCCATAGTGCTGTCTGGCCAGTTTCAGTCACATGCCCGCCAGCCCTTCGTCCCGTGACGTGACGGGAGGAGGGTGGGAAAGACCCAGAGCCCCCACCTGCCCCCTGGGAGGGGAGGGGGCAGCTCTTGCCCCCCCTGCAGAGATGCTGCGTGCACTACAAAGGCTGCCGGCCTTGCCAGGTCTCCCTGTGGACCCTGCCCTGACCAGGTCTCAGCCTCCCTGCGGCTGAGGTCCCGCTGGGCTTCCCTGCCCCGCAGAGCCTGGTGCTGGGGAGACCTCTGCACAGAGGCGGCCACAGCCCCAGGCCTCAAGGCAGGTACCAGCGAGTCCCTTGTGACTGCCTGCTCCCCGCACCGCATGGAGCCCTGTGACCCACGTGACGGCACCAGGGCTCCTGAGGCCCTTTCTGCTGCTGGGCGTGGTGCAGCCAATGGAGGCCCAGGTCCATCACGCGCCACCCGTGCTTGCCCAGGTACATCCCGTTTGCCCCGTCAGTGCCTGCTCCACACAGGAGCCGCCACCTCCAGCAAGCCCATCTGCCAGACACCTGGCCCAGGACTGCCCCGAGCCCCTCCTGGTCCTGACTTTGGCCCGGGGACCACCTTTCAGGGTCCAGCCCCAGCTTCAGGGGACTCAGTGGTGTCTGGTGGAAAGGAGCTTGGGAATGGCCCCCACTCTCATCTACAGGAGAGCTGGCAGGGTAGCCAGTCACAGGAAGCTGTGGCGGGAGCTGGGAGGTCCGCACCCCGACTAGAAAGTGCGTGGCCCGAAGGCTGGGGCCCTAGGGGTTCGTCCCAGGCTGCCTGATTGGGTGGCACTGGCCACAGCCAGCAAGGGGAGGGCCCCTTCACAGCCTAATTGCACTCCCTGGTGCCCTGGGGGAAGGCCTGGGCGCTGCAGAGGGACCAGGCAGGGTGTTGGTAGGCAGGCTGGGGTGGGTGGCACTGTGCTGCGGGGCCAAGCGTCCGAGTGCCAGAGGCAGGTGCACTGCTGGCTGCCATCCCGGTGGACGAGCCCAGCCCCGGCCCCAATGCTCGGCAGCAGGGTGGCGGACCAGGCTGTGGCCGGTAGAGGAGAAGCCCCGAGAGGCACCCAGGAGCACAGACTCCACCCCACGGCTGGAGCCTGGGAGAGGGGACCCTGTCTGCTGCTTCCAGGGTGCGCTCACACTCCTGGCCCTCAGTGCCCCTGCCAGATGCCCCCCACACGCAGAGAACCCCCCCAGCCCACAGAGCCACATGGCGCTCCAAGGCAGAAGGGGTCCCTTGTACCTTCCACCCCCGGACACCCTAGTGCTACTGTGGATACCCCAGCAGCTCCTGGGGGCCTTGGAGTGCATGGGGGCTCCCTCCCCAACTCCCCACAAATACCCAGCACTCAAGGGCATGCCTGAGGGCAGGAAAGCAGGAGTCCTGGACAGTCATAGCGTCTACACCTGCTGGTACAGGCTTCCGACCCCATCCCCTCAGACTCAGCCTCAAGAGATACCTCATGCACTCCATCCTGGGAAGGAGGGAAACTGAGGCATCGCAAGAAACAAGGCTGACATAGGCATCAGTGAGACTCGGCCCTCCTGCCTCTTCCTCAGTGCCCCTCCTACCCTGATTTCAGCCTCCCTGAGACTGAACGCCAAGGCCCCGAGCCTGGCACAGGGTCCCAGGTGCCCATGTTCTCACTTCTCTGTGGTCTGCACCCCTTCCCTGGAAGGCAGACTCCAGGGGCCCAGGGTATTGCCTCCCGGGCGGCAGGAAGAAAGGTCCTGGGCTCCTGACCTACCACTCAGCACCCCCGCTAAGTGCAGCAACTCCTTCATTCATTCAGCGCGGGCTCTCCTGGCACCAGCAGTGCCCAGGCCCCGTCCAGGGCAACAGGGTCATCAGGGAGGAAATGAGGGAGCCCAGGGAGGCCAGAGTCGGGGCCCTTCCCAGCCCCCAGCCGTCCCCACTGCCGAGGTTGCCTGCAGGGTATCACCCCCTCACCCCCAGGTACCCCAGAACCAGCAGGGAGAGGGAAGCAAGCGAGCCCCCAGCCCCATGCCTGCTCTCTCGGGAACTCCCCAGAACCAACACTCCCAGGTGGCCCAGGCCTCTCCTCCCTACACCAGGGACACGGGGCCCCTGTCGCAGCCAGGGCCTGAGCCCAGAGACCCAGGGATCCCACTGAGAGCCTCCTCTCCACACACTCAGGGCCAGAGGCCAGGCAGGGGATTTAGAGGGCATTCTGTGCACACCAGCCCCCAGGGCAGATGGGGAAACCAGGCTGAGATGGGTCAGTGTCACAGACATAAAACACAGACCCTCACCCCCAGGGTGGGCCTCCCCACACCACTCTGCAACAGCGCAGGAGCCCCAGGCCCCCGAGTCCAGCACCCATCACCCCACTGCCCTCTGTGAGGCCCTCCACCCAGCCTGACCTGGGTCTCCATGGAGCCCCACAGGGTCAACCCCATACCCCAACCTCCTGGCAGGACCGCCTCCATCTGTCCGAAAATCCCCAAAGATACTTCCCCTTTCTCTTGATGGGAACAGCTGGGCACGGAGGGTGAGAGAGGGGCTGTGGGCACCCGAGGGCCGGAGCCCCACCCTGGGGGATGGAGGGCAGGGTCCCGAGGCCCAGCTAAGGGCTCCCCCTCCACTCCTCGGCCTTCAAGGCCGGCCTGTGCCTGCCCTGCTCCCTGCCAGTGCAGGCCAGGCAGGGGGCTGAGGCCGAGGCCTGGTCACTGCCCTCCTAGTCACAGTCTGTGACGGATTCCAGTCTAGAAGCCAAACATCTAGAGTCGTGTGGCGTGGACACTCAC